AAAAGGCCAGGTAAAGTCACACACACCAGTTGTAAGAGCCCAGCCTAGCCTCACCTCATCACAACTTGGAAGCTAATTTTTTATGTATTTATTTATTTAATTTATACCCCCACCCTCCCTGCTGCTGTGGCTCAAGTGGTTAAGACGCTGAACTGCAGGCTGTGGAAGGTTGGTAGTTCAGCAGTTCGAGACCCGAGTTGCCGCATGACGGAGTGAGCTCCCGTCTCTAGTTCCAGCTCCTGCCAACCTAGCAGTTCAAAAGCAAGAAATTGCAAGTAGATAAATAGGTACCACTTCGGTGGAACGGTAAGAGCGTTCCGTGCGCCTTGGTGTTTAGTCATGCCGGCCACATGACCATGGAAACATTTTCGGACAGCGCTGGCTCTTCGGCTTTGAAACAGAGATGAGCACCGCAACCCTAGAGTCGAGCTCGACTGGCTTTCGAGCAAGGGAACCTTTACCTTCACCTCCCTGCAAGAGCAGGCTCAGGGCGGCTTACACAGTTTGATACATAAATAACAATTAAAATCCACATAAAATCATCTAAAAAAGGAACAGGCATTAGGTCGACGTAAAAAAACCTCTGCTTGAGACCCTGGAGAGCTGCTGCCAGTCTGAGTAGACAATACTGACCTTGATGGACCAAAGGGTCTGATTCAGTATAAGGCAGCTTCATGTATATCATTTACCTCCTTACTTACTCAAACAATTCACTCCCCCTCCCCCTTTTTGCTTTATACAGTGATCACCTCTCTAGAATAGGCAATACATTTCATTAAGACAATGGCAACTCAAAGTGCCATGAATTAATTCAACATACAATTAAGCAACACACTCAGGAAAGGCAAGTGTCAAGTCCCATGAAAGGAAACCTATTATCTCCATTACCATTTAAATGTGCTCTAGGCACAGCGGAATATCTTGTCAAGCTAATAAAGTTATAATTAAACCCAACATGTAGACAAAGCTTTGGGGGAAGGGAGGCTTGCTCCAAGTTAAATCGTAGTCGACAGGTAAATTAATTCAAATGTAATTAGGAATGTGACACACTTGAAGATGAAATGACGAAGCTGGGATACAGAGCTCTCGGTTAAATTCTTCTATCGTGTGTGGTGGGGGAAAGCGCTCTCAAGTCACAGCTGACTTATGGCGACCCTGTGGGGTTTTCAAGGTGCAAGATGTTCAGAGGTGGTTCGCCACTGCCTGCCTCTGGTATTCCTTGGAGGTCTCCCATCCAAATACTAGCCAGGGCCGCTCCTGTTTAGATTCCAAGATCTGATGAGATCAAGCTAGCCTGGGCTATCCAGGTCAGGATTCTATCGTGCGTAGCTCCTTAGAATTAAGGGGATTTGTCTGCAACACTTTTGCAAAAGACACCGTAAAGGTCACTAGCTCAAGAATATCTACAAGGAAGTGAATTGTTCACAGAGTAACATGGTGTTTTTTTTTTTTAAAAAGCAGCTTTTCCTACTTACAAATGCTCCTTTGCCTAGTCATCCTCAGATTTGCACATCACAGATAACCAGACAAATAACTATCTCAAGGCCTAAAGCACAGCTTGTTTCAAGTACATTTCCTACATCAGATATTCCTTTTGCATAGAGAAAAATGCATGCCAATTATATCATTGTAGTTGTTCCAAGGCCACTTCAAACGTGATGCCTCTTAACAAAAGATAGCATTTCTATGCAGGGGGAAGCAGGCAACCCTATCTTTATGGGCAATGATCACATGTATGTGAACCCTACTGAGGTTCTCAGAGGAATGACAGGATATAACATGTGACAGATGTACAGAGCAAGTGATGCTCTGTCTTCTTGGTGCTTGGGGGGGTCAACAGTGGGAGGGCTTCTAATGTCCTGGCCCCACTGGTGGACCTCTTGATGGCACCTGGTATTTTTGGTCACTGTGTGCCAGTGTTGGACTGGATGGGCCTTTGGCCTGATCCAACATTGGCGTCTCTTATGTTCTTATATGAACACGTTGTTACCCAGCACGTACAGTAAAATGGACCCCTGTACTCATACAGCCTATTATTTTCTACAAAATGAACTGTCATTTCTTCAGAAAACATGCACGTGGTAAGTGCTGTCAAGTCGCTTTCGATTCTTGAATAGCCTGGCCTTGATCTCGTCAGATCTTGGAAGCTAAGAAGGGTCGGCCCTGGTTAGTATTTGGGTGTGAGATCAGCAAGGAATACCAGGGTCGCTACGCAGAGACAGGCAATGGCAAACCACCTCTGAACGTACCTTGCCTTGAAAACCTTATGGGGTCACCATAAGTTGGCTCTGACATGACTGATAAAAATAAATACATTTTAAAACTGAAAACAAACGTCCAAAAACATCCTATCGTTAATTTGCTCAGGTCTTGCAAGTTGAGGGCCATGGCTTACTTAAGTCAATCCATCTCATATTGGATCTTACTCTTTTCCTGCTGCCTTCAAATTTTCCTAGCATTATTCTCTTTTCCAGTGAGTCTTGTTTTCTTATGACAAAAGTGCGATGGCCTCAGTTTTGTTATTTAGCTTCTAGGGAGAGTTCACACTTGATTTGATCTAGAACCCACTTATCTGTTGTTCTGGTAGTCCGTGGTATCTGTCATACTCTCCTCCAACACCACATTTCAAATGAATCGACTTTCTTCAGAAAACAGACTATGATTAAAGCAGGCTGTCTCTATCTTGGGTCAATCAGCAACAGACCCACAAAGTTTATACTGAAAACAAGAATGCTAGGATTATTACAAGTAAGAAGAGTTCTAAAACTTCAAACTTGGGGGCTAGCACGGGCGAGCCTTTAAAAAGGTCACTAGAAAGTTAACCAAATAATCATGTCGACGCCTTACTGCATAGTAAATGTACACCTAACCTGAGTCTTAAGACTCCCAATGGCTAGGTTTTAAGTTTCATCTTATAGTAAAAAGATAGGAGGATGGATGCCTACAATCTTTTTGGCAGCAATCTGAGGAAGAGCAGTTTACAGCCAAAGGTAAAACTAATTCAGGTCTCAGTAAACGACACCTCTTTGGATTTTAGAAAACAAAACATGCCGTCAAGGAGGCAGAGTGAGGCAATACCAAGTGAGCATCTCATTGGAAATCTCTGGGGGAAATGTGGCTGAGAGAAATAATGGTATCAATTATATAATCTGTTGAGTTTTTGCCTGGGAGCTACAGCAGCATTCGAGCCTACAGCTTGGACAACTCTTCAAGAACATGCAATACAAATTATTTCATTTATAAGCACCCATTTAATCAGGATAGTTATAAATCACCCAAGAGCACAGATTCCCCCCCCCACACACACACAAACCATTTTAACACTTATTTCTGTGGGAATCTAGGATTGGGAAAGATCCATTCTAAGGCAACAGGAAGCATAACTTGGGACTGTCAAGAAGATAAGAGAGATGCTTTTTAGAGAGTTGGAGCCTAACTACGCTACACATTATAGCGTCATCTCAGAGCAGCCATTTAAACCCCACTCAAGGGCCTAGTTACACATTGAACGGTTTACCTGTCAGCCTTATGTCTGATCTTCTCAAGTCTTGTCAGATATGAAGTGGAGCTACTTGCTGAGATTCTCAGGCATGTAGGGGCCCGATTCAGGCCAGGAATGCAGCATGCAAACAGAGAGAGGCTTCATCCTCCCCACCAGCACACTTTTCTAGACCTGAAGCGGCCGTGGCAAGCCATTCTTCGCACCCAGTGGGGAAATCGGCATGCAGCCCACCGTCACACACAAGTTTCCACAACAGGCCAAACAGCAGCTCCCCGGGTGGGTCCATTTCAGATTGAGAAAACAGCACAAAGGGTGAAGCTTAAAAAAAACCAACCCTGGCCCCAATCCAAACTAGGCATCCACAGCCTGGAATTAAGTTTCCCACCTGGAATTCCCAGCACATCTTACAGGTGGTCACAGAGTTAGGCCCTGCAATTAAGATCTGGGTTCAAATCTCCACTCTACCTCGAAGATTTCTGAGTCACCTTGGGCTAGTCGCCCGCTCTCAGCCTCCTTACCAGTGTTGTCGCTAAATGGCACGTATCCTTGCCCTGAGCTCCTTGGAGGAAAGGTGTGATCTTAACCAAAACATGCACTCTATAATCTTTCTCAGGAAAAGCATATGGCGATCTTCCTCACACATCTTAACGAAGGCAAATGGAGAAGCAGAGAAGTTGGAAGGAAAAGAGGAAGAGGGGGACGGGGAATAGGGTTGCTAGGTTCCCCCCTGGCCAAAGGCAGGGGACGGTGGAGGGGGGCAGATCCCGGTCGCCAGATCCAGGTTGGGAAACTCCTGGAAATTTGGGGATGGAGCCTGGGGAGGACAGGGACCTCAGTGGGGTAAAGGTAAAGGTCCCCTTGCTCGAAAGCCAGTCGAATCCGACTCTAGGGTTGCAGTGCTCATCTCTGTTTCAAAGCCGAAGAGCCAGTGCTGTCCGAAGACGTTTCCGTGGTCATGTGTCCAGAATGACTAAACACCAAGCCGCACGGAAGCTGCTACCTTCCCACTGAAGTGGTACCTATTTATCTCCTTGCAATTTCTTGCTTTCCAACTGCTAGGTTGGCAGGAGCTGGAACTAGAGAGGGGAGCTCACCCCGTCATGCGGCACACTCGGGTCCCGAACTGCTGAACGACCGACCTTCCACCGCCTGCAGCTCAGCGTCTTAACCACTTGAGCCACCGCACAATGTCATAAAGTCCACCCTCCAAAGCAACCATTTCCTCCAGGGGAGCTCTGTAGTTTGGAGAGGAGGTGAACTCAAGAGGGTCCCCAGGTCCCACCTGGAAGATGGCATCCCTAACGGGGAAACCTGTTAAAGGGGTGGGGAGGGAATAAGAAGCTATTGCACCCTAAGAGGAGAGAAGCTGCGGGGAGGGGAGCGATATGGAGATCTCTCTTCCTTTCCCTCCCCTCTTTTTGGGGAGAGAAGCGAGCACCCCTCATGGAGCCGGGGAGGAGAGAATGGAGGGAGGGAAGGAGGGGGGGGGGTCTCTCACCCAGCAGCCGCAGCAGCCCCCCCAGGAGGCCGACCCACAGGGAGTCTCCGGGAAGCACCGGGGACGAGTTGAAGATGGCGTCGATGACGAAGAGGCTGGGCACCCGCAGCGCCCCCCTCCTGCCCGTCCCCGGGGGGGGGAAGGGGGGGGGAGCCGTGGGGGGCTTATCGCCCGGCGCCCCCCCCCGCCGCTTCAGCCCGCTGCTGCTGCTGTTGTTGGGGGCCCGTCCGCAGCGCCGCCGCCATCGTAGCCGCCCCCGGGAGGGCGCCTTCGCCTCCTTCCTGCAGCCAGGGAGAAGAAGCGGCGGCGGCGGCGGCGGGCGGCAAGAGCAGCCGGGAGCGGTGGCGGCAGCAGGGCCTCTCTGGGCCGCGCGGGGCGGGATCAAGGCGCCCTCCGTCACAATGCTAGGCCCGCCTCGCTCCGTCCCCGCCTGCGGCGAGGAGGAAGAAGGAAAGCGCGGCCGGCCGAGCGGCCACTTCGGAAGACCCGCCGGGCCGCCGCGCCCCACTCCTCCCAGCCCCGCCGCGGCTCGAGTCTCTCCCCTCAGGGGAGCCCTCCTCGGCCTACTAGGCCGCCCGCCTGCTGACTGACTGAGGGGAGAGTTCGGAAACGGAGCCGGGGAGGAGATAAGGCAGCTTCATATCTCCCCCCCCACACACACCCGGGGATTCGTTATTTTTACGTTATTTACAGGTTTTGTGTTATTTATAGGTGGGAGTAGCCGTGTTGGTCTGAAGCGGCAGAACAGAGTTTGTGCCCAGTGCCACCTTTAAGATACACTCCTCCACTGTTGGTATCTGAAGAAGTGTGCTTGCCCGCAAAAGCCTATACCGTGAATTAGGAAGTTCAGCCAACAGCGTGGGAAACAACGCAGTAGATAATATAATAATATCAGTAGCACGCTTTGTATTCAGTATATTATAGAATAGATTCAGTAAGTCAATAGTCACAGCACAGTTCACAAATACAAAAAAAATCTCCTGTATGTGAAACAAAAGTACTGGATCAACTCAACTAAAACCTTGCGCCTTCTATCCTGGCGAGTCAAAGATAAAAGGCTATCCAGACATATAATATGGGTCAAAGACCAGGAAGGGAAAGCGCACACGAATTCCATATCGATTAACAAAGTCTTCGCAGACTTCTATCAATCATCGTCTGAACCTTCCTCTGAGGACATTCAAACTTATTTGACATCGAACTTGCATATAAAAAAACTTACAGAAGAACATCGTGAAATTCTCCAAAGAACCATAGAGCCGCAAGAAACCCTTGAGGTCATAAAGAATTTGAAAAACAATAAATCGGCAGGTCGAGATGGTTATCCGCTGGAGTTCTACAAGAGATTTGCTAACATATTGGTTAATCCATTGGCCAACGCTTGTAACAACATATTATCTACAGGACAAATTCCTCCGTCTTGGAGCACAGCAGCCATAATAGCAATACCTAAACCGGGAAAAGAAGGTTCAAACCCAGCATCATATCGTCCGATATCTCTCCTGAATCAGGATTACAAAATTTTTACAGCGATTTTAACCAAAAGGCTGAACTCATTCATTTCAAATTACATCCAGCAAGATCAAACGGGTTTCGTACCAGGTAGAGACATAACAGATCATTTTTAAAACACTGAATATTATGTCATTATGTGAAAAAACGAAAATAGAATCAGTACTCTTATCACTTGATATAGAGAAAGCGTTTGATTCCCTTGAAACATCGTACCTGATGGGTTTTGACTCTAGGTTCCTTCGAGCTGTCACCTCAATCTATACATCACCAACAGCTCAAATCAAAATAAATGGAATATCATCTAGGAACATACCGCTAAATAGAGGCACCCGACAAGGTTGTCCATTGTCGCTGATACTTTTCGCCCTGGCTTTAGAGCCTTTGGCGACTGAAGTCAGAAATAACAAAAACATCCAAGGAATCACAGTGGGTCCCGAAACCTTCAAATTAAGCCTTTTCGCAGATGACATGTTGGTATACATGACAAATCCTGATACATCTATGTTTCACTTGCAGCAAATTTTAAAGAAATTTGGTGTAATTTCAGGACTTAAAGTCAACCACTCCAAATCTCTCATAATGCCGCTAAACCTGGCAATATCTACGGAGCAACATCTGAAAAAACAACACAAATATCAATGGTCTAACAAATCTCTTCAGTACCTGGGAATACATCTACCCAGGAAAATTGCAGACCTATATTCCCAAAACCATCAATCAAAATTCTCAGAAATCAAAAGCGAACTGAACAAATGGGAAAAGCTTCAACTGGACTACTTAGACAGACTACATCTAATTAGGTCATTTATTATACCTAAACTTCTATATCTATTTCGTACAATTCCTATCGAATTATCAATTGACACACTTAACAAATGGCAAAAAGCATTAAACTCATTCCTTTGGCAAGGTAAACGTCCAAGGACAAACTTTTTGACACTCAGGAGGAGGCCTTCACAAGGTGGTCTAAACTATCCAGACCTGAGGCTGTATTACAAAGTGACACTGTTGATTCCTGTAATTAAGATGCTGAGCCATGGTAACAACATAGATTGGGTTAAATTAATAACCCCATTGATATCTCCTATCACGATCCAGGATTGCATTTGGAACGCACTGGGTGAGCGTCCTTGTAACATAAAAGACAACATATTTCTGACAGCCATCCTGAAGAATTAGGACTCTTGTCGTTCATTATTACTTCCAAAGTAATTCTGACAGCCATCCTGAAGAATTGGGACTCTTGTCATTCATTATTCCAAAGTACTCAAGGTTCACATCTTTTCTTTCTCAATCCTGGTTCCTACCTGGTTGTGACATTGGGATAATAGAAAGCTGGAAGAGAGCAAATTTAACTCAACTCGTTTGATTGATATTATGACAAAAGATGGCCTCTCATCTAAAATGCTACTAGAAAACAAATTGAAAAAATCTATTCCATGTTTTTTTTACCTCCAATTAAATCACATGGTTCAACACTTGGACTTAACCTACCTACTGAAAGTCCCAATTACTCCCTTTGAAAAACTCATTGATCCAAAAAATACAGTTTCTAAAGGTTTGATCACAGTGACATACGATGTCCTGATTCGTCAAAAAGGAGAAGAACCAATGAGACAACAACAACAATGGCAACATGATTGTGGAAACACCATAACTCCTCTTCAATGGCAGCAAATATGGAAATCTAAATTGATGACATCGCCTGTCATCTCAACGAAATTGCAGACGCACAGAATCATCACCCGATGGTACCTGACGCCAGAACGACTCTCCAAGATGACCTCAAAACATTCACCACTCTGCTGGAAGAAATGTGGAAATATTGGCACCTTCGCACACTGTGGGTGGCAGTGTGACCACATCCAACAGTTCTGGCATGACGTGCTTGCCCAAATCAAACTAATCACCGCCTATGACATACCATTTGATCCGGCCTTATTGTTTTTGGATAGATGGGACGCAACAGTAATACCACCAATCCATCGGGATCTTATCACTAGCCTCCTAGTAGCAGCTAACACATCCATTGCAGCTAGATGGAAAGCAGATAAAGCCCCATCTCGATCCTGCTGGTTGACGTTCAGAAATCTACCCCAAACAGTCCAATTTTGCAAAGAAATGGCTTCCCTTCATGGAATTCCTTTTTGCCTCTGACCTGCAACCTAGTAACTTAACATACTTATCTATACTAAACCAATAGCTGTCATCACAACACTGAAATTATGATGAAACATAGTGCTAAAGTGCGAATTGGTTCTGAATGAATAGGAGAATTGCTCCCTTACCTTGGTCTCGAAACAAATAAATAGCTAAGTTGAAATCGTAACACTTGTTAGCATGCCTACAGTTAATGTTAATTTGTTTTTTGTTGTGTTGTTATTGTCTATATATGAAAGCTATATCCTAAACTCTACTTGATAAATTGTATGCAAAGTTATTGAAATCTGTTCAAAGTTATACTACTGAAATCTGTTTATGAAAAATTAATAAAAAGATTTATTTAAAAAAATAGTCACAGCAAAATGAGTGTGTGTGTGTGTTTGGGTTCCCAGCCTCCGGGGGGGGGGGCTGGGGATCTCCCGCTTTTGCAACTGATCTCCAGCTGACAGAGATCAGCCCCCCTGGAGGAAATGGCCGCTTTGGAGGGTGGACTCAGTGGCATTGTACCATGCTGAGGCCCCTCCCCTCCCCAAACCCTGCCCTCTCCTGGCTCCACCCCAAAGTCTCCAGGTGTTTTCCATCCCAGACCTGGCAACCCTAATACACACACACACACCAATTGGTGTTAATTTTCACAAGCAAAGTATCTTTGATCCTTCTTCCTTCTACTGAGAGACTTTGCTTGTGAGAATTAACACCAGTCGGTGTACATATATGCTCATTGTGCCGTGGCTATTGACTTAACTGGATTTATTCTATAAAAGAGTGTTGTTGTTATTTACTGTATTTCACACAGTGTTGGTTGTACTTCTGGACTCTTTGTTCACCATGATCCCTTTTGTTCTAGGTATACCGTGAATAAAACTTTGTTGGTCTTAAAGGTGCCACTGGGACTCAAACTGTTCTATTTTTTTTGTAGTCCGCCTTCCTCTTGTCAGGGTGTGGCAACCAGAACAGAGACTTGGGGGGGGAAATTAAACAGGGTCGAGAGGCGACTGCAGAGAGGCAGTTCTGTGGCTCTCCCCTGTAGCAAAAGAACCCAAAAAAACCCATCAACCCCAAACGGTCTCAAAACCCTAGTGGCACCTTCCTTAAAGACTAATTCATTTCAGCAAGAGCTTTTGTGGGTCACAGCATGCTTTCTAGGTTGCCGTCTTCCGGGTGAGGCCTAGAGCTCTCCCACAATTACAATTAGAGTTGCCATCCTCTAGGTGGTGGCTGGAGTTCCCCCCGCCATTACAACTGATCTCCAGATGACAGAGATCAGTTCCCCTGGAAAAAAATGGCTGCTTTGGAGGGTGGACTCTAGTCCCTCCTTTCCTCACCATCTGCCCTCCTTGGGCTCCAGCCCTAAATCTCCATGAATTTCCCAATCTGGAGTTGGCAACCCTAAACACTATTAGTCTATTGTAGCCAAGTAAAACAAAAAATCGAGTGGCACCTTCCTTAAAGCCTAATTTCATGGGCCACAGCCTCTCTCTTGGGTATCTGAGGAACTGGGCTGTGTGGTTGCTAACCTCCAGCTCACAGTCTTTTAGCCTCCGGCTCACACATTTTTGTCTCAGCTCAGGAAGGATGGCTCCATAGCAAACTAATTTACGCAGTAGCCAGATTGCTCCCTCACAACCTTAATGCCGGTAGCTCACAAAGTAGAATTTTTGCTCACAGGACTCCACAGCTTAGAGGGAGCACTGCTCAGAATCACAACTGATCTCCAAGAGAAAATGGATGCTCGAAGTGGCTTACAATTTGAATAATGCAAGAATTTATTTATTTATTTGATTTATGCCACGCCCTTCCTACCAAAGCAGGCTCAGCCAAAGCAAGCCATAAAAAACTTCCGTGACTGGAACTCTGAACATACAATTTGTCCCTAAACCCTCAAGGGGGGAGCACGTGATCAGCACGGGAGCTGTCGTGTTTCTGTGCCATTTCCACAATCAAAAATTGGATTCAGCTTGGGAAGAGGCTTCAGACTCATTTGTTACGTGGGCCCGATCTCCTATAAGTGTCACTTCATTGGGCCAGCCCACATGTGCCCTAAAATGTAATGCCAGGTACTGGAGACATAAACTCAAGGTCACTGAGGATGGGCCAGCCAGGTTGGGAACCAGGACCCTCCAGCAGGGACCCTCTCTCTTCTGTTTCCCGATCTCTCCTAGAATCCTAGAATCTACATAGAATGCATAGAATCTCTCCTCTTGCAGATTGCCCCTTAACTCCCTTCTCTTGTCTGTACAGCCTCCTTCTATCTGTCCCCTCATTTTTTTTTTCTTTCTTTGCCACTGCGATCTATCTCTCACCCTGTTTTGCACTGAACATTTACCAAGCAGGTGGATGTGATGTCAGGTACTCCTAAAAGCAAAAAATAACAAAATCTCCCTTGAGTGTTATTTCCCCTTGACCTCCTTCTGATTTTGTTTTGTAAAAATACATCTCATCTCCCCACACTTAAGTTGTCTCTGCGACATTTAAAGAGAGAGGCAAATTTGACTGACTGGATCCGAGTTTGCTATTCAGATTAAAAATCATCACTTTCTTCACATGGTATTTGTTGCTTTCCTTTTAGGTGTGGTAAAATGACAGAGAATGAGGAATTTACTTTGTTCATCCTGTCCTTACTGGAAGGCAGTGAGGAATTGCCCTCTTCCCAACCTTTTCCCTTGCCACTCCTGGAGTTTACTCTCTCCTGCCCCATCTGGCTTGAATAAGATTTCCAGTCGGTCAGCTGAAAGATAAAGGTTCCCTTGCTTGAAAGCCAGTCGAATCCAACTCTAGATGGCAGTGCTCCTCTCCATTTCCAAGCCAAAGAGCCAGCGCTGTCGAAAGACTTCTGTGGTCATGTGGCCAGCATGATTAAACGCCAAGGCGCACGGAACACTGTTACCTTCCCACCGAAGCGGTGCCTGTTTATCTACTTGCAATTTCTTGCTTTCGAACTGCTAAAAGTATCAGCTAACAGAGTGGCAGCCCTCCACTAAGTGGCCCTAAGCGATGGCCTATGGGGCCTGTGACGACCCCTTAACTGGGGAGGTCTGGTTTTCCTTTAAACGTGTTCTTATGTTTTATTTTACTTTGGGTATCCGGCTGCCACCAGGAAATTTTAAAAAGGATTTCCAAACCTTTATGTTTTACTCTTGATATTACTGGGTAGGTAGTTCGAGGGTTTAGACTTTTGAGGAA